TTTTTTTTTTTTTTGTTGTTGTTGTTTTTTTAAGATTTATTTACTTACTATATATACACTGTTCTGTCTGCATGTATCCCTACAGGCCAGAAGATACCAGATACAAGTGGTTGTGAGCCACCATGTGGTTGCTGGGAATTGAACTTAGGACCTCTGGAAGTGCAGTCAGTACTCTTAATCACTAATACTACAAAATGTGAATAAATTACAAATGTAATACACTAAAAAGCCATACTCTAAAGACTTCAATAACATAATTCCATTCATGACATTCTGGAAAACAAAAAATTAAAACATTAGGCTTCAAGTATAGAAGCAACTACAAGGGAGCAAAAGGAACTATTCTCCTTAAGAATCTTATTTTTGGGGACTGAAGAGATGGCTTAGTGGTTACAAGCCCTGGTTGTTCTTCCCGAGGACCTAGGTTCGAATTCCAGCGCCCACACAGAGTTCACAACCATTTGTAGCTCCAGTTCCAAGAGATCCATTGAATATTCATCTCTGATCTCTACAGACACACATACATGCACACAAATAATTTTTTTAAAAAGCAGATATTAAAAAAAAAGAATCTCACCTTATTGTGTAGGCTGGTTTTGAACTCTTGGCCTCAACCAATCTTCCTACCTTGAGGTTTGAGAGTAGTTAGGACAGTACTAGTAGGTGAGTGCATAACGCCATACCCAGTTTGTCCTGCATCTTGATGGATCAGTTACAAAATTTATGCATTTACCAAAACGTACAGAATAGGCCAGCAAGATGGCTCAATGGACAAAAGCACTTGCCACCAACCTTGATCACCTGAGTTTAATCTAAGGACCCATATGGTGGAAGGAGACCTGACTTCCTCTGTCCTCTGACTTCCACATGCTTGGGCATGTACACACACTCACTCTTAAACAAAAAACTTAACAGAAATAGCTGGATATAGTAGTGCAGGCTTATACTCTAGCTATTCAGGAGGCTAAAGCAGAAGCTTGAAGCCAGCCTCAACTACATAGAAAGTTCAAGGCCAATCTGGGCAAATTAGTGAAACCCTGTCTCAAAACTGATCTAGACATATATAACCCAAGTCAGTTCACTTCTCTGAGTAGTTTTCTTCTTATGTAATGTAGAAATGGGTCAAGATTTTCTAAGATCTTCCAGACTGTTAACAACAAGTCAAGTGGTGGTGGCCCATGCCTTTAAACCCAGCACTAGGAACTCTGAGTTTGAGGCCAGCCTGGTCTATAAGGGTTAGTTCCAGGATAGGCTCCAAAGCTACACTGAGAAACCCTGCCTCGGAAAATAAATAAATAAATACAACAACAAAAACCTAAAAAAAACTTATGATTTTCTTTCTTTTCTAGTGAGAGGGGAGAAAAGGGGGAAAGGACATGAATGTGTGTGCTCACTCGTGTGTAAAGAGAGCAGAAGTCAACTTTAGGTTTTGATACTCCATGAGAGCCTGTTTTGTTTTGGTTTTGAAATAGGAACTCCCACTGGACTCCTCAATTAGCTTAGAGGAGTTGTCTGGATGGCCTGCAAGTCCCAGGGATCTGCCTGTCTCTGTCTCCCCATCTCTGAGATAACAAGCATGCCCATTTTTTTTACCTAGGTCCTAGATTATGAGAATGAAACTCAGTTCCTCATGGGTTTTCACAAATGAGCTATCTCCCAACCTCCGTTAGTTCTACTTGAGCCAAAGTCTCACTACATAATCCTCGATGGCCTGGTACTGGGTGCTGAGCCCCAAGTGGCTACAACCTAGCAGCAATCCTATTTCAGCTCTTCAGAATGCTGGATTATAGGCATGCAACCCATTTCCAGTACAACCCCATGAGTTCTGATTTCCTGCAGTGCTTATCTGATGCTGCTGACTTTACTCCTACATCTCTGGTTTAGTCTTCTGTGTACTTTGTAATTTCCCCAGGTGCTTTTGCTTCAGCTTTATGCCCTAGAGCCTACATTTCCTCACACTCTGCTCTCCTTTAAAAGTCATTCTGGTCAGGGGGTGGTGGCCCACGCTTTTATTACCAGCACTTGGGAGACCAGTGCTGGTAATAAACCAGTTGGTTTGCAGCAGGAGTTACAAGCAGGTTCCAAAGCTATACAGAAATACCCTGTCTCGAAAAATTTAAAAAGTTGTTCTTATTGTTTTATTTATATCATTATCAGCCACTAATATGGCGATCTGTCTTCTTTATATCCCCAAGTATGCACTGACTTACTAAACAGCTCCATTTGAAATACCTAATGGCAGCCCCTACTTACCCAAAACTGAACCTATCCTCTTCCCAAACCTCTTCTACAATCTACCTCATAAACAGTACTGTTATACATCTTGATGTCCAAACCAAATCTTAACCCACATTCTGACTCCTCGGATTTCTTTATCTTGTGAAGTTTACTTTTCTCTGCTTTCTTGCTGCAGAATTTCTTGCATTAATTAACCCAACAGGTGCCTGAAGAATCTCTCTTCTCCATTGTAGCTAAGAAACTCTTTCTTTAAAAAACCCAAACGCGACTGGGAGGTGGTGGCGCACACCTTTAATCCCAGCACTTGGGAGACAGAGGCAGGCAAATCTCTGTGAGTTCGAGGCCAGCCTGGTCTACAAGAGCTTGTTCCAGGACAGGCTCCAAAGTACAGAGAAACCAAACTAAAACAAACAAACAACCCAAACACACAATAAAGCCAAGAATCTCTAAAATGGCTTATAAGGAAGGCTCTTTCAGCTGCCCTCAGTGCATCTCTCACAAGCTAGCCATATTCTTTTGGAATTCTCACCAACTCCCGAGCCCTATTGTCTCTTCTCTCACCGTATGCTAACCCTCTCATCTCCAAGCTTTTGCACACGTTTTTCTTGTCATAAATGTCTCTTCCAGGTTCAGACAGAAAATTCTTTCTTCTAGGAAGTGTCTATCTCCTCCTATGTGTTCACATTAGTTTTTTGATTGGTTTTCTTTTTGGTTTTGACACATAGTAAGACCCCCATCTCAAATAACAACCCCAAAAAATAATCCATTCATTCAAAAACTTCAGAGAAATAGTAAACTGAGGTCTCTTCTACAATGCGATTCTGTAACTTGTCAACTGGAGTTACAGATAGTCCTAAGGGTCAGGTGGGTGCTGGAAATAAAACCCAGGTCCTCTGGAACACAGTCAGTGCTCTTAGGCACTGAGACATTTATTTTTTTATTTTTATTTTCTTAAAGACCTGGCTAGCCTGGAACTTTTTTTTTCCTTAGGGAGGTTAGGGGGTTCAAGACAGGGTTTTTCTGTGTAGCCCTGGCTGTCCTCAAACTCACTCTGTAGACCAGGCTGGCCTCCTTGAACTCAGAGATCGATCTGCCCCTGCCTTTCAAGTGCTGGTATTAAAGGCAAGCACCACTACCACCAGGCTCATTTTATCCTTAATTTTTTGATTGCTAATTTATTTTCACTTTTTCTTTGTTTTTGGGCTTGTTAGTTTTCTCTATGAGACTCACTACATTTTTCTATGCAAACAATGCAGCAGTATTATCTTGTATACAGAGACCTATTTCTTTCCATAATATTGGTTTGGTTAGACACTGGGAAATCCACATATTTTAAGCACAATAATCTGACCACAAAACTTTACAATATTTTCAGGTTTACTTTACTATTCACCTCAATTTTATTACAAATCTTATTTTACTAACTTTGACATATTTCATCCGATGAGACAAAAAAAACAATGTATCAACCACCTAATTATCGTTGCAGAGCAAAAAATAAAACTAGCTTCAATTATAAAACTGCAAACAACGTGTATTGGTTAAAATACCATGCTTTACCGATCTGACACGTCAAATTCAAGAACACAAAGTAGAAAAAAAAAATCCCCACATCTAACACATTATTACCAAAGAAAAGATAGCCCTGCTGAGAGCGGGAACTAACTTTCTAACCTCTTTTCAAAATGACAAACTAGAACAACAAAATCACACTCGGGCACATGGAGTACTCCTCTCTCAAATCACTCCACGGAGAACTTCATCATTTGCTCCGCCCTCTAATAACTCATGCAAAAAAAGTTGAGCACCATCAGAGAGAAACAAGCCACGGCGCATTCATAGAATGGCTTAGATAGAGCCTTTCCTCGGGGCCAAGAGAACCTGCGTCTGCCCTTCGTCGGGGTCCGAAAGGAAAGCAAAACCTAGGCCTAAGGTTTCGCAGATATTGACATCCAGAAACAGATTTCTCGGCCAGAAGTTTCTGCCGCCATCCCTATTTTACCAGCAAAGGCTCGGGCGCCATCGTCTCGATCTTTGATTTTATTATGAGGATGTGGGAAAGGCTACCCAGAATTACTCTAGGCCTCCCGCCCCCCCCATTAAGCTTAGGGGTACCCCTCATTCCTATCCTACACCCTCCGTCCCTAACTCCTCCGCACCCCTTGTTCCTGGCGGCAAGTCCCCCGGGATGTGTAAAGGCGCGGCGGAACCCACCGGCCGTTAAAGCGAGAAGGCCCTCGCACGCCAGGGCCACCGCCAAGGCTCCGGGGGGCCCAGCGAGGGGAAGGGCGGGCAGGGGCGGAGGGACGATGACCTGGCCAGGAGGAGAGGACGGCGTGAGGGGACCCATTGCAACCCCTTGTCCGAGGGCCGCACGGTACCCCGAGAAGGTGATGGAGGAAGAGGGCGGTGGCCCGGGTGCGGCCCCCTACTCCTCCCGCCCGCAGGTCCCCGGTGGCGGGGACCGCGAGCTCGGCCCATCCCCTGCTCCGAGCTGGCAGGGGGCGTGGGGGCCTGCCTGGGAACTGAGAGGAGATTGAATCGAGGGACTCGGGGCCCCGCGCGGGGTGGGGGGGGGGAAGCTGCCACCCGCCCGAACCGCAGACCCCGGACGCTGTCGTCGCCTGTTCCTCAGGGGAGAGGACAGGAGCTGAAGGGAAAGCCCGAGGGAGGAAGGCAAGAAGGTGAGGGGAAGCCGGGGGCCAGCCCCGACAGCCTCCCGGCCCCCCAACGCTTCACCTTCCCGTAGCCACGTCCCTTACCGGTGATGGCCATGAACTGCTGAATTAACCCCTTCAGCGCCGACGACGCCGCGGAGCCCCCGTGGGCAGCCATCTTACCGCCGCCGCCGCCGCCGCGGAACAACAACACAGACACACACACGGCTCTCCCTCCCCCACGCCGTTGCGTGCTGCGCGCAGGCGCACTGGCAAGCCCAAAGCTCCTCCCCCTCCCGCTTGCGCGCGGCCCGCGCAGGCGTGATCTCCGCCTGCCGCCGCGTGCCCGACTGTGGTGGTGTGACTCCCGCGTTGCTTCCTTGCTAGGCTCCTAGTCTTTGAAACCTTTGATGGCTTCCTCGAGCTCCGAAGGTATCCACCTAAATACCGTATATGAAGCCCAGTGTCCGAAAGAAACTTCAGAACTGAAATACCAAAACCTTCATGCAATACGCAAGGCTTCACATATATTAGGTATTTTGTTTGATTTTGAAAGATCGGGCTTTCTTACAAGATCTCCTGAGTAAATTGGGAGCATGGGGACCATGGGAGAGAGTTGAAGGGGAGGAGAGAGAAAAGGAGGGAAGCAGAGAAAAAATGTATAGCTCAATAAAATAAAATAAATCTGTGTTTCTTAAATTTTACGTGTAAATTTAAAACTTAGTAAAAAATGAACTAGTTCATAGTACACTTTAATAAATGGTTATTCTGTTTTTCTTCAGCAAATGTCCCAGTATGTCTCCTCTCAGAGTCAGTCTCATTTTCTTCAGATATAAATGAGGTGTCTTTTTCTCGTTTTCTTTCTTTCCTTTCTTTCTTTAACAAAGATAGGTGTAAGCGTTGGAGCTCGGGTGGGAAGGGATCCTGACGGGCGCTAAGGAATGCTAAGTGCTGCAGCTCAGATGGAAGCCAATTCTGGCAGTCAGGGTCACAGTAAGTGTAGCGGTTTCTAGGGAAAGGTTTCCCCAATGTAACAGTTCTGCTCAGGCAGGAGAGGGCTTCCCCAGTGAAGCTGTTACAATTTGGCTATAGTCCCCCAAGCTGTTAACAACTGTGCTCTGCTAGTCGGGAAGGTTTCCCCAGCGACACTGTTACAGCCCTGCTCGGCTCCGGATCCCGTGAAAAGTTATTTCTCTCCTCTGCTCCATTCCAGCGAAAGAAGGTCTTCATTCAAACCTCCTTTAAGAGATTTATAGGGAGGGAAGAATCCAGGAGAGTGGCTACCTCTGCCAGAGTGGGAAAAGGACAGCAGCAAACTGAACAGGTGCAGGGCTTATATAGGGCTTCTTAGGGGACGAATTTATCCAGGGAGAAGATTTTCAGGGTGGGAATTGGTCAGATTTTAGTCCCTTGAGCTCAGATTGGCTAGATTGCATGCACAGGGATTGGTTGGTTTTCTGCTTAGTTGGTCAGGGGCAGATTTGGCTGTGGTTTTAGAGCCAAACTGTGTTCCTTTCACTGGCCTGGACATATTTCTTTCACTGACTCTTATTCTAGGGCCAAAGTGTGTTTCTTTGGCACTGGTTTCAGGGCCAGGGTGTATTTCTTTGATTCTGGGTTCAGGGCTAAAGTATTTCTTTCACTGACTTGGGTCTCTGAGCTAGGGTGTGTTTCTTTCACTGGCTCTGATTTCAGGGCCAGGGTGGGTTTCTTTGGCTGGCTCTTTTTCCCTACAATAGGTATGTATGTAGATACAATAAATAAAATATAGTCAGGCGGTGGTGGCACGCCTTTATCCCAGCATTTGGGAGGTGGAGGCAAGTGGATATCTGTGAGTTCGAGGCCAGCCTGGTCTACAAGAGCTAGTTCCAGGACAGGTACCAAAACAACAGAGAAACCCTGTCTCAAAAACAACAAAACAACAAACAAACTCTCTCTGTGTGTGTCTCTAGGTACAGAGAGAGAGAGAGAGAGACATCACTGGAGAATGACCCTGAAAACATTAATAATGGTTGCAACTAAAAAAGAAAGAGAAGCAATAGTATGTAACTTGCATGATTCTAAATACTTATTATTTCAGTTATTTAGACTATCTTCTATTCAGCACTTGGGAGACAGAGGCAGGCAGATCTCTGTGAGTTGGTGGTTAACCTATTCTATTGAGCAAGTTTCAGGACAGCCAGAGCTACACCGAGAAAGCCTGTCTCAGCCCCCCACCCCCCCAAAAAGAGTTGAGGGATGGAAAGATGACTCAGCTGTTAAGAGCACTTACTGTTTTTCAGAGAACCTAGATTCAGTTCCCAGCAACTGCAGTGCAGCTCACAACTGTCTGTAACTCCAGTGCCAGGAGACCTGACAGCCTTCTTGGGCATAGCACACATGTACACAAGTATTCCATGCAGGCCAGAACTCCCATACACATAAAATTAAAAAAGAGAAATTATTTTTTAAAGGTGGAGGGGGGAGTACACCATGTAATTGGATGGTCCTAAAGTTATAGATCCAAAAGTTCAGATCAAAGCCATGCAGTGGTGGCTTTGCCTTTAGTCCTAGCGCTCAGAATGCAGAAATCTCTGAGTTTGAGGACAACCTGCTTTACAGAGTGAGTGCCAGGCCAGCCAAGGCTACACAGAGAAACCCTGCCTCAGAAGAGAGAGAGAGAAAGTCTAAATCAAAAAAGAGAAATATCCCTTTAAAAACTGGCAAAGGCAGGCAGACAGGCTAGATAGTGAGACTCTGTCTCAAAGGGAAGAAGGTATAGGGAAGGTAGGCAGAGAAGAAGGGAAAAAGAGAAGAAAACTGGGCTTTGAACCCAGACAGGAATAAGCTAAAAAGATTGGGGGATGGAATACAGCAAATGTAAAAAGAAAGTCCAGAAATAAAAAAGATTTCTGTTACCAGGGCCAGGGAGATGGCTCAGTATAAAGGCATGTGGCCAAGCCTGCTAACCTGGGTTCAGTCCCCTTGGCCAGACTTTTAGCTAAGCCCAGTGTCACCACCATCAGAAACAAATACTAGGGCTCAGTGGAAGAGAAGCATTCACAAGACCCTTGTGAATTTGATTTGATCCCAGCACTTTCATGTGGAGTAAATATTCAGTTAAGGAATTCGGCTGTTTAGGGTGGTATGCGTAGTATCAGGAAAACCCATCTCAGAGGGCTCCAACAGCAGGGAAAGTGAGGGAGAGTTCATATCAGTGCTGCTGGACTTCAGCTCCACCTCTCTCTAGATCTGCAGGCACGCCCGCCTGTGTCTGCGGGAGTGTTGTCCCTGGCTGATGGCAGGGACTCCACACAGAAGCACCTCAGGCAGAGGAAGAAGCACCATCTCACCTGCTAAGAAAGGAACCATTTTCTGGAAGTCTCTGGAGACTTTCCTTCAAAGTCCATTGGTTTGAACTGAGTTACAGTTCCCATCCTAAGCCTGTCCCTCTGCCGGGGTGGGAGAGAAACATAGCTGGGTTAGTATAGCTAGCATATGGCTTTGTGGAGGAAGGTGCTCTCAAGCACCAGAATGTGGGACTTGAAAAAGAGAGAGGAGGAGGAGGAATTGATGTTAATTAGGCAACAAACAGACTCTTCTCCATTCATAAAACTTCCCTGTGAACATGATGAAATGCTTCTCCACTTCCCTTTATTCCGGGTCTCCCTTTACCTAGAATCCCTCTGAGTAACAGGAAAACAACCACTAGAAACTCCTACCTCTCAGTATGAAATTTAAAAATTGATATTGTGCGGTTAAGAGCACTAGTTGCTCTTTTAGAAGACCCAGGTTCAATTCCCAGCACCCATGTGGAATCTCACAGCAGTCGGTAATACTGACTGGGATTCAATCCAAGGGATCCAAAACCTGGCCTCTTCAAGCACTGAATACAGGTGGTACACAGAAATAGGTAGAGGCAAAACACTCATACTCATAAAAAATAAAAATAAAAGTTTAAAATGTTTAAAATGGTGTCGTAGAATATTATTTTAAGACGTGTTACATTTGTTTCTGCTGTAGAATATTTGTTTTAATGACACAAAGATGTGTTGCATTCTTTCATGTGGCATTTGTTTAACTCTGTGAAACTGTGTTTCTTTGCCTGTCTAAAATACCTGATGGTCTAATAAAGAGCTGAACAGCCAATAGCTAGACAGGAGAAAGGGTAGGCAGGGCTGGCAGGCAGAGAGAATAAACAGAAAGAGAAATCTGGGAGAAAGAGCAAGAGCGATCAAGGATCTAGAAAAAGAAAGGGCCAACTACCCAGCCACCCAACCACCCAGCCACCCAACCACCCAGCCTGTGATGGAATAAGAGTGAAAGTAAAATATACAGAAGTAAGAAAAGTAAAAAGCCCAGAGGCAAAAGGTAGATGGGATAATTTAAGATAAGAAAATTGGCTAGAAACAAGTCAAGCTAAAGCTGGGCATTTTTATTTTTTTAAGATTTATTTATTTAGTATTTTATTATGTATACAGTGTTCTGTCTGCATTTATCCCTGCAGGTCAGAAGAGGACATCAAATCTTATTATGAATAACCATGTGGTTGCTGGGAATTGAACTCAGGACCTCTGGAAGAGCAGCCAGTGCTCTTAACCTCTGAGCCATCTCTCCAGCCCAAGATAGGCATCTATAAGAAAGAATAAAACTCCATGTGTGATTTATTTGGGAGCTGGGTGGTGGGCCCCCAAAAGAGACAAAAGAGTTTCAGCATTCTAACGTGGGGCTAGAGTAAAAGAAAATTCAACAGTAAAATGGCATTGTGGTTTGGTTGTGAGCCTAGCCTTTAAAGACTAAGCCATCTCTCCACTAGGGCTGGACTGTGACATGGAGAAACCCTGTCTCAAAAAACAAAAACAAAACAAACTCTCTCTCTCTCTCTCTCTCTCTCTCTCTCTCTCTCTATATATATATATATATATATATATGTATATATGTATATATGTATATATTATACATATATATTCTGATAAATATATATTAAAATATAGTCACTTTGTCAAGCCTTTCTTCATAAGGAATAAACAAAACTGAGAGGTTATGAGGGAGGGAATCCTGTTCGCATAGCTGGAGAGCAACTATTCAGAGACTTCTGAAGCACACCCTTACACAAAGGTCATTATTATACCTTCAACTGATTCCCCGGCAAGGACCTTTGCCCGGCACCTGTCTGTTTAATCTCAAACTGAAGCCATCATGCAATAGACTCTTGTAGCCAGCGATTATAGTCTCAGAATATTTCATGTGATC